ATATATATATATATATATATATATATATATATATAACTTGATAACATTAAGATCGACAAGGAATAAGTGGAACCCTATTGTAAACACTCCAACCATTAAAAAAAGAAGCAAAGAATGAAAAGTATATTCTTAAATTTGTCCATAGAAACAACCCATATTGATACATTAATTTCTTGCAAAATGGAAAATGAAGTTCCGGTTCTTAATCACAACCAATGTGAAGTGTCCCTTTTACATGTGCGTAAAAAAATGCCTTTTCAACATAGGATGCTAAATAAATTACGTCATTTTGATTTTTTTTTTATTTGAAAACCCAAAGTTTCTTTTACCGTATCTTTTTCTGTGGAAGTGGACATATTTGGAGTACCGAGTACACTTTTTTCTTTAAGAAAACAAGAAGCTATTTTGGTTTGTTTCATTCTATGTTATTGTCTTTTGATTATAATATAATTTTATATATATAAGTATTTATTTTATAATTTTTGTATACAAAATAAAAATTCATCGGGCACATTATATAGACTAAAATATTAATAAAACCAAAACTTAACTATAGAATATTTGTTATTTCCTTTTTAAATTTGTTATCATTGATAGTCATCGTTATGTATGTTTGGTTATTATGCGAGTGGTAATGAATGGATGCAGAAATAATTATAAAAGTGAGAAAATCTTAAAAGTGAAAAAAAATTGTAAAAACATAGAGGATATAATTAATATATTTATATTATTTAAACGTAAAATGGTCAAACAATAATATAGATTAATTATTTATACGTTAGGGTTATAATATCCTTTATCTATTTAAACGTGGATTATAACTTATACAGGAGTAATAACGGAGAGTGGAACATTACACTTGAGTAATACAATATATTTAATTTAATTTTTTACGCATATTTTAAATATCAAAAACCTATAAATCATTATTTTATTCATAGTCTTGATTAGCTCAATTGTCAATAACCAATCAATTTTAGAAATAAAAATAAGGGCATTTAACTTAATAAGCATTTGCAAAATCAACTTCCAATAAAATTCAATTTACAGAATCAGATTTTGTTAAAATTAACTCTACAGTAAAACTTATACTTAAATATTTACTGTAAACACAAATGTAAAACTTAATAGAAATTTTCAACACAACTTCAAATAAAATTTTCACCATAACATTATTTTTCTATCACTTAATCAACCAAAATTTGAACACACCCAATTTTACGTGACAATAACCAGACATCTATACCCTTGCCAAAATCACCTTTAATTTGCAACAAAAAAATATCACCCTTGATAAAATCTATTATTTTCCAAGTGAAACCAAACACACATTTTCATCTGAAACTTAAACACATGCCCCATGTTGCTCTTTCTTGAGGTTGAATAAAGAGAAATTTTATTTTTATAAGCGTAAACTAACAATGTCTCTAAAGCTGATATCGAAGTAATGGCACAGTATTTCAAACAAGTTTTAAACGAGTAGCTTCATTGCATGTGTGCATCAAGTTCACATTGTGTCCATTACATTTTTCATTATAACCACACATCCAAAATCAAACCATTACAGTAACAAACTCAAGAATCACCACATACCTCAGAACACAGCCAAAGAGGTCTTAATTTTGTAGTACCAACACAATACCTACCACCTATTTTCATTCTACAACTGAATGCAGCCAAGCTGTTATCACTCTGTCATAATAGGTTTGTTCTCACTGGCTTTGGGTTTCTGCTCTTTAGGCTTCAGCTCATCAGTTTTCCTGACACAGTTCAATTTTATTAACATTAACAACATAGAATCAGAAACAAGACCAAGATTATATACTAGGAAAAATAACAATCTATTGCATCACAAAAGAGAAATGAAGTTCAGGCATCATTAATGGACATCTATACAGGAGCATCTTTAACAACTTTACCTGTTATCCACACAGAAAAATGAGATTTAATGAAAATGGGAAGCATGTAGTTTCAGACTTGAAGTTCGTAATAGAAAAGTGTTTTGATGATTTAATTTTCTTTAAAAGTTTCTTTTACTCAGAAGTACATTATTGTTTAGAATTGAAGAATGAATACTTCATTTTTCATCCCCCCAGAATCATCAAATACTCCCTAGAATTGAATAGCACGCCTTCTAAAAAACAGTGCATGCATGAAGTACAGCAAAATCAACCATAGAATTAAATATAAGATGTTTTTGTCATTTTGTAACAACAATTGTTTAAATAAAGATAAAGCTCCCAACAATCATTTAGCAAACTTATAAGCTGCCCCTGCACAAAAATGAAAAAACTACTGACATTAAAATTAAAATGCAGACTTGTCATCAGGTCAGAACTATAGAGACAAGAGTACATGAAGTCAAATTTAACAACAATATCTGATCAAGCAGTTTACCATGATTATCAAGTATCCAATCAAACAAACAACACAAGTTATTTAACAAATCAAGAAGAATTTGTGCTGGTTGACATTAACGTACTTAATAAACCCACCAAATTATTGTGGAAACTGCACAACAGAATACCCTGTGATCAACTGAAAAATATAAACTGCAGAAAATCTACATACAATCTTACAGGCATCATAGTGTGCCACCAATAGCACAATAGGATTTCACTAATTTCCATGATTACAAAACTGTAACTCCTTCCATGGCAATGAAACCCAAACTTAGCAACCACATAATAAACTAAATTAGTTACAGCAAACAAAAAAAGTACCACTCATCTTTGTTAGCAAGTGTACTAGTCAGAAACAGACATTGAAGAGTATGTTCAACACGTCTATTTACCCAATGTATAATTCCATATTAACCTTTTCAAAATCTTGTTCATTAATTTGGAATACTTCAAGCAGCCCAACAAAAAAGTCCTCAGTGGATCCCAGACTCCGCATTCAATCATGTTATCTAAAACCTACCCCACCTTAGCAGGATAAGGCTTTCATCGTTGCTACTTGCTACATACACCATAAATAAACTTACTAATAAACCTATTCAATTGTCATTCTGATAGCATTCATCCGTAAGAGCCCCTTCACTCATCACATCCATCACAGGTAGCATAAAACCACAATGAATGCATTTCAAGCATAGTATTTTAATCAGGATACAAATTGTGTATCAGATGGTCTATTTTCCAAATCAAGAATCAAATCGTGAATCGTAATATCCATGATCAATAATAAAATATAGCATATACATATATAAGACATACAAAAGCACTCTAGCAGCATTTTATCATAAATAAACATATGAAAAATGACCACACTTATATGTAGAACCAGAAGATTACCACTTAAACAGTTATGCAAAGCCACTTGTTGAGGATTCAAATTTATTTATAAAAAAAAAATATTTTCGTAGCGCAAGTCAATCCAACACAAAACATTGTCCCACGAAGCATGTCTAAGTCTAAGTGTGTCTGTGTTCCTTCATTTCTTATCTTAAAGGATTAAGTAAGGAGAAGCATACGCCATAATGAGAAACTAAAAAACAAATATAAACAAAAAAAAAGTGACAATCATGCTAACTTCCTAATTCAAAAAATTCACAGAGTAACGAAGAACAAAACAAAATAACAACGCCAATCTCCCTTTTCTCTCCAGCAACTCAAAAACCTAGAGTCATTGACCCAGATAAAAAACAAAAACAAAAACAAAAACCCTTCAATGAATTACAGAAAAAAATCACAAGCAGATAAGAAAATATAAAAACTTGAAATAATCGCATTGGAATAATAGCCCACGATTGAGATTGAGATTGAGAGAGAGAAAATGAGAGAGAGAAAAAACCTCTTATCGGAGGAGCCTCCCTTCTGGCTGAGGAAGGATCGGAAAAGAGGAGAGTTAACGTCGTAAATCATTGTGGAGAAGATTCGATGCCAAAGATGAAACCCTAGTTTTTTTTTCTTTCACTGCGCTACACAGTTTCGGAAACCTTCAAGAATTTATGCTTCTTCCAGACTCCCCCAAATCCGTTTTCGTTGTTGGATTGGGTCATTTTTCACACTTTTTTTTTGTTAGGCCTTAGTTGATATACGGGCTTATGTTTTTTTTTTTGAATAATTGAAAATTTTGAGCATAGTATTTGATATATTCGTGGATCACATTTATAAGAGATGTTTGTTTTAAGTTATCTAATTTTATTTTTGGAAATAATATTTTTGAGAATAACATGTCCGTGTGTGTTAAAAAAAAGTTGTTTGGTTAACAATAAGATTTTTTTTATATTCTCAAAAATAATGTTCATAATATATATTTCGAGGAAGGTATGTTATAATTATTAAAATAACTTTATTATATAAAACGTTTTTTTTATTACAGTCCATAAAAATAAAAATAAAAATTATAACTACATTATGAATAATTTTTCATGAATCTATACCTATTATAAAGGGGATACAAGAATATGTAACCACTTTTGGTTTCCACTTTTAGTGGACCATTATACCCCTCAAATATATAAAAAAAAAACTTATATTTTCTTTAAATAATTACAAACAACTTTTTAAGATTGTGTACGTATATAATTATTAGAGACACGAAGTTGCTTCGACCCCTCTTGTTTCTATAAATTATTTTAATTCTGTGGAAAGTATTGATATTCTATTTTATTTCGTTAATTATTACTTAAATATTTTTTCTTTTACTCTCACAGTTTTACAATCAAAATAAAAAGCCAATTAATATATTAACATAGAAAGCAGTTCAAGTGTTGTTATTACTTTTTATTATATTAATATTTTAATTGATGTTATATACTTTTCGTTTAACAATAGTATATATTAAAACACATGTTGTGTGATGATGTTGATGAAAAGGATATTCATGAGGTCATCATGTTTTAGACTAAATGAAGCAATTTACTAAAAGGTTAACCAATCCATTGGAAGCATTGTGAATGTGTAAATTCAATAAGCATAAAAATCTGAATACTTTGATGAACAAATGATAAATTAAATAACTTATATATATATATATAGAGAGAGAGGAGACTTATAATAATACCGTTGTAATTTTTATTAAGTATTACACTGTTCAATAATTTTGTATTAAATGTAAATTTTATAAGCAAGGCCCTTGATGCGATTAACAAGACGTTCAAACTCGATCATGTATTCATTGACAATGCCATGTTATACGAGTTTGAATAGAGTTCAGAAGCGTCATCATAGTAGGAGGGAGCAAAGTGAGACCCAATTGCTTGTATAGTAATCTAGGCCAGGAGGTGATATACCCATTTTGGAACATCTATTGGTACCAACTCAATGTTGGTCCATCCATGTAAAATGATGCAACTATAATACGTTCAACATCAAGAGTCCCTTGATAGTCAAAAAATTGGTTGATCTTAAAGATCCAACCTAAGGAATCATGACCATCAAAGCGAGGGACGTCTAGATTGATAGGTGGACAATAGGGAAAAGGTGGTGGGGTGGATGGCTGTTGGGTGGTTAAGGTGGCTAATTGATCAAGAATGGTATCCACTTTGGTGGAAAGGGCATGGTGATCGGTGGATAAGGTATTTTGGGATAGGGTGAGTTGCGTAATGGATTCCTCAAGGCGATTAGTGGTAGGTATGATGATCAGCCATGGTGGACAGCAGGTTAGACCAGTTGATAGAGTAGAGGAATAACTACTATTCTACTATTAATCTAAGAATTCTAAATGAAATTTCTCGTTGCCTTCTTTTATTCTCAAAGTGCTATTTAAAAGCAATACAAATGCCAATCATTGGCTGTTCGCACATTCCGGAAACAGAAAAGAGAATCTAACAATTTATAAATGCATAATCATAAAGGCCATTGCAACCAATTCACACATATCTCCCATGTGACTCATATCAGACAAAGTCATAAAGGTGGTTGGGCCTCTTGGTGATCCTTTTGGGCCTAAAAGTGTTAGTCATGTTGTTATCACAATACACTTTTTGTCTCAAAAATAAGAAGTCTCCTAATTTCACTAGTTTTATTATTTAGATTCCAAATATATATATAACACTCTTTATTCCTCTCTATCTCTTTCTTCATATCACCTCATCAATTATATCAATCACTTATTTCTCCTCTCTTTTCAAGTGTGGAAACCATCAAATATATACTTTTAAAATATAACTACAAACATTTATTCTTATCTAGATAATTGTCCCTGATCATCATTCCTATTCACTTGAGCAAACCAAACACATTTTGACTGCACTATTAATCAATTTATTATTGAAATAAAAAGAATGTCATATCATACACCACCTCCATACAGAGAAAATTTACAGGAAAAATACAAAATACATTCACAACATTCTGAAGCCTTACCTGTCATGATTCATCAACCAGCTTGTAGACGCTAAAGTGACTGACCCTGATCATCCACTCTCCTTTAAAGAGATTATATGATAGATGAGCACCTTGGTCCTCAGCCTTTCTCTTGAGCATTTCCTTGTATTTCTCGATCTTTGGTCCTTTTGTATACTCATGTACAGTTTTTTTGTCAAAATATTTTATGTTGAGTAGTGTTACCTCAGCAGGCTTATTCAGCCCTTCTCCAACAGGAGGTTTGTTTGAATCATCCATGTATACGAACACCTCCCCTTTGTTAAATTGAATGAGGGCCTCCAGATCAAGCCCTCCTACATTTGTCTCACACTAAAATCTTTGTCGCAACCCAAAAATTTCCGATCTTGCGACCTATGGTTTAGACATCCTTTTAAAGATCTCATCAATTAAGGAATGCCCGGACACTAGACTAATCCTTAATTGATGGTTTTGAAAATAGGTTTTATGGAGTCGCCACCAATATTTTACTCAAAACATTGGAAAAAGAAAAGGTTTTTTAAAAAAGTCTAATAATGGCCTTAATAACCAGAATTGGGTTCGGGGGTCGGTTACGTGTAAGGAAGGTATTAAGAGGTATTAAGCACCCCTACAACGCCCTTAATTGGTACCCTATGACGAAGTTAACATTATAAACAATAATAATATAAATATTAAATCCCCTTTTATTAATGATTATTTACATGTTTGAAATTTAAATAATACAATTAACCCTAAAATGTCTACATGATTGTTTTTATTATAACAATAATTATTATAGATAAGAAATAAAAAAAAGAGAGAAAGAAATTAACTGAAATACCTCTTGAATGAGCTCTATTGGATCTTCAAAATAGAGAGATTTTAGGTTCTTTGTGGCATCCTTTCGCACTACAATTACCTCACAAATCTCAAGAAATACAACAGGAGGGAGAGAGAAGATAGAGATGCGACACAAATCTCAAGAAATACAATAGAGGGGAGAGATATAGAAAATTTTCGTGCTCAAAGGAGTCTTATTCAAAATTTCTCTGGCCACCTTGAGAAATGTGCCCAAGATCTCTATTTATAGGCATTAGATGTGGGCCGGAATGGCCTATTCTGGATTCGGAACGGCCTGTTCCAGATCCGAACGTTATATGTTAACTTTGCACCCTAAAACGGCCCGTTCAGATTTAGGAATGGCCCGTTCCAGACCAAATATTTTAGGCCCTTTGATTGGTTGGGAACGGCCCGTTCTGGTCTGGAACGGCCCGTTCCAACCTACAATTTTAGGCCTTTTACGAGTCTCGGAACGACCCGTTCCAATTCGAGAACGGCCCGTTCCGGACTTGAGAATGGCCCGTTCTGATTTTGGAACAGCCCATTCCGGGCCACTAAAAATAGTTGATTTGGGCTTTTGGGCCCTCTGATGTCCTATCTTGTTGTTTGTATGCCCCCCGAACGAAATTGGGTGTCTACAGCTGCCCCTCTTTACTTGTCCTTTAGAATAGCTGTGTTTCTTTTCGAAAGGCAAGTAAAGACGTAGACATTTCGTCCGGGTCTTCTTCTCATCTTTGTGTTGATGCTTCTACGTTGCTTCCCTTGGACAGGTGTATTCGCTCGTATCCTCACCCTTTAGAGCAGTTGAACATTGATTGTGTACTCTATTGGGTAACAAGGTTGACAAACTGTACACCTGATCTTTAGTCTTCGAGTAGAAGCTCCATTGTTTCTGTTGTGATAATGTGTCCCTTTATTTGTAGCTTGTTTAAGGGGAGTATTGTTATTATGGCTGGCCTCTCCAGGCTGCCTGCTGAACGGTGAGTATTATTATGGCTGGCCTCTCCAGGCTGCCTGTTGAACGGTGAGTATTATTATGTCTGGCCTCTCTAGGCTGCTTGCTGAACGGTGAGTATTATTATGCCTGGCCTCTCCAGGCTGCCTGCTGAGGATGATGATGCGATTCCCCTTTTCTTTGGGAGGACGTCTGGAGTATTATTATGCCTGGCCTCTCCAAGCCGCCTGCTGATGCTGAGTATTATTATGTCTGCCTCTCCAAGCCGCCTGCTGAATGTTGAGTATTATTATGTCTGGCCTCTCCAGGCCGCCTGCTGAATGCTGAGTATTATTATGCCTGCCTCTCCAGGCCACCTGCTGAATGCTGAGTATTATTATGCCTGGCCTCTCCAGGCTGCCTGTTGATGCTGATGATGTGATTGCCCCTTTTCTATGGGAGGACATCTGATGAAGATGAGGATTGTTGGTAGGTGATGCCCAATTGTGATGGTGGGCAAAGGAGTAAATGATGAGTATTATTATGCTTGGCCTCTCCAGGTTGCCTACTAATGATGATGATGTGATTGCCCCCTTTTTTTTTGGAGGACGTCTGATGAAGATGAGGATTGTTGGTAGGTGATGCCCAATTGTGATGGTGGGCAAAGGAGTAAATGATGAGTATTATTATGCTTGGCCTCTCCAGGTTGCCTACTAATGATGATGATGTGATTGCCCCCTTTTTTTTTTGGAGGACGTCTGATGAAGACGAGGATTACTGGTAGGTGGTGCCCTTGTGATGGTGGGCAAAAGAGTTGATGGGTGACAGGGATTCTAGTGTTGCCCTTGCCATGTGAGTATTGTGATGCCTCTCCAGGCGCAATGCTGAGTCCTTTTGATTCATTGATGATTGATTATTGTGGAATG